CTCAAAACTTCCCTCAATCAACTCAACACGCTTAGCCCTGATGACCTTGAGGTTTCCGTCCTCAATGGCAAACTGTGCGTCTTTCACGGGTGCAATCAAATACTCCTTCTTCCAAACAAACCCTGGTTGGATATGGTATCCCAGGAAGATCCCTTCAACCCCAGTTGACGAAAACTTGGAAGTCTCCGGAACGTTCTGTTTAGGGTTATGCCAATACAAGACCTTAGCTCCGAAAGGAACAATCAATCCCGCAAAGGACTCCCCAAATCGTGCCTCCCATGGGATTTCACCAGTATCCACTCGCTTTGTGAGATTGAGCGCAATGGAGTGGTGCTGAGCTGCTAAAGGCCAAAACCGTTCTGGAAGACCGGCTTGCTCCAAGTTCGAGCGCGTACCTTCTAGTACGGTGCGGATTTCCCGTTCGATGACGGCCTTAGTTTCATCCACGTACTCTCTAGAGGTGTTGTGCCTACATCGGAGTTCCTTCACAGCTGCTCCCAACTCCGGCGCGTTGTCAGAGTAAATAACCCCAACTTCGTCTTGCGTACCGAAAAAGTGCAGAAGGTCCTCATGCACTTGTTCCGATGATTTTGTTGTGCTTGGATACACATACCTGAATTGCGAAAACACATCTTTGATAACAAGCGCCACCCTCTCATCCTGAAATCCAAAGTCCCTCAAATCTCTTGTCACGAGATGATCAATGGTAACATGATCCCCATACTTTTCACTGTGTATGGTCGAAGATCCCCCCTTTCTTCGAGCTTGGGGAGATAGCATCTTCGCCTTTTGGCACACTTTGCAGAATGGGTTCTTAGGACGATGGCAGAATTGATGATGGATGCTTTCGGCCTCGGCGCGAAGCCGGGCTTCTTGCGAAATTTCCCTTCCCTCATCTTCTTCCTTGTCACTATCGGGCTCGATTAAGGGGTCGTCTTCGGGTCTTTTGAAAGCAGTAATCGACAGAATTGGCGATCCATCAATCTTTTGATTTTTAACCCTTAGACTTCTGATGTCAACAGAATCCTCAATCTTGCTCCAAGCAGAGTCCTTGTAGATCCAAGTGGTCCTTAGCACGAACCTTGGATGACGAGGTGCAGGTACTCGCAAAGCCTTTGGCCGATGACCAATAATGATCTTTGATGCGGCAATTTCACTGCTAGTGATCCAACCTGGCTTGGCTAAATCTTTAGGCTTGATTGCAATTGGTGGTGCGGCATTGATTGCTTCTTCTATCTCGGAGTCGCTATGAACGACTCTTTCATCCCCGGCCGGTCCTCTCGGACGGCTTTCTACTGGAAACCCGAAGACTCGTCCTCCGCAGGTGCCGCCAGTTCAACCTTGACTGTACCGGCGTTAAACACCTGAGTTCCAGCAGATTTCTGGGAATCATCAGCACTTGCTGGGCTCGCTACCGAGTCATCATTCGAGATCACTGGGACTCTACCCTTCATCTTACACTTGATGACCTTACCATCGGGAGCTATGAAGTATGGAACCTTGCCCGCAGGCCAATGGAAATCATATCCATCGTCCATGCATCTTCTCCCAACAGAACAAACCGGTGGCGTGCTTTCCAGTAGATAGCACTCAATGTTTTGCTTCAGTTCAGGCATCGGGATGTTGGTTGACTTGATTCCCTGAACTGGACCATTAGCTGTAATCAAGTTGACCGGCCTACTAGCGTTTTCGATGGGAGCCTCTGGATAGTAGATAGAGTGATCGTGCCTACTGATCAGATCTTCTTCACTGCCAGTATCGGCGAGGAATTCTAATCCCGCATTAAAGCTAGAGCATGCTGTTCTTTCACGCTAGAACACAGCTCGCACTTCAACACTGCAACTGGGATCTCACCCTCTTCGCAGTCATCTGTGCACTCGTACTCACAGTGGCTTTCAATCCCATTGAGCATACAGGACATGATCCTGGCAAGCTCGTTCGCTGTTCTTATGGCCGTGCTTAGGTCCTGAACTGGAGGCTTTGGGCAACTTTCAGCATCCAAGTAACAAACTTCGAAAGTTCGCGGTTTGGTCCTATGCTTCTTACCCTTACCATCCAATGGAATCTCCCGAATGCTTGGCTTCTCCTTGAACCTTAGTTTCTTGAACGTTCCTGAAGCATCACCCTTAACGCCTTGCCCATTGGGCACAGCTGCCAGCGCATACGAAATGCAACAAGCTGCCGTGCGTCCGCCAGACTTTTCCTTGCTCTTGGACCTGCCCCTGTGTTTCTTTTCCTTCTTTGCTTTAGGATCCGGGGTCGGGCTCCTAGGCTTTTCATCGTTCTTCGCAGGGGCGGCCTGCTCGGTAGGAGCGGCGTCAGTTGGATTGGGCTTATCTTGATGCAGGAACCTACAGTCTTTGCCTTTGTTGCACTTACCTTTCTTCCAAAAGGTGCAAATCGCGTTGATCTTCTTCTGAGGCGTTCGATGAGGACTTGGGGATCTTGACTTTGGTTTGTGGAGAAACTTACACTTGTCGCCTCTTGTGCATTTTCCTTTCTGGAAGTCGTAACAAACCTGTTGTGTTTTGGGACTCTGAGATCTAGGCGGTGTTCGTTGGCTCGATCCTTTGCTGCTTGTTCTGGATTTTGAGCTACTTCGGGACATGCTTCTTCCACGGCCTCCTCGCGAAGAGGGGCGACGTTCAGATCCGTACGCTGGGGCCCCGTATCTATCACCATGCGACTTAGCGATGCGATCACGATTCTTGCGCATACGCTCTCTAGTCAGATGCTCCCTAATGGCATTGACGAGGAATTCATACGTGTGTACGGGGTTTCCTTCTTTTGCCCTGTCGTACAGCTGAAGATCGTACTTGATGTGGTGGGATTTCCGAATTTCCCTCAGCAAAATGTCCCTCAAAGTAACCTCATCCGGAACATGACTCATTCCAGCAATCACCGACTCGAAGTTGTAAAGGAAGGTAGCCAAGTCGTCCCCAACCAACTTCACTTTTAAAAGGTCCTCTACGCTATAGAGGCTTCCGACTTCTTCATTAGTCTTAAAGTGTTGGTGAAACATCCACAATACTTGTCTTCCCCTGACGGCACGTCCTCCTGTGGCCTCTGTTTCCTTGAAGTTTAGGACTTGCCTTGAAATCTCTCCTCTAGCGACTCTGGTAAGTGCAGCCAACAACTTCGTGTCCAATGTTAAGAATTTCCCAGTGTCATGTAAGGACTTGAGGGTAGCCTCTTTATCATATACTTCCTGCACCCAGCGAAATGCCTCATCCGGGCGATCGCTCGCAGCCCGCACAATCTCGCGGACCGAGATCCGCCACGATCGGTAGGTCTCTGGATTAGGGTAATCGGGAAGCTTGATGCTTTCGGCTTCTTTCACCTTTGGTTTGCCCTCTTCTTCTTCGGTCTTAGGGGTAAGCAAGCGTGCTGCCCTAATCAATGCCTCAGCTCCGAAATCAACATGTGGAACCCCGTCTGGATCAACAGTCGCCGGCTTACCAGTTTGGGCAGCTTTAGGAGACTTTTCCTTTTGTGGCTCTCTGTTCTCAAACCCAGGTGGTACAGAAGTTCCTTGCGGAGGTTCCTGAGCTTGCGGCGTTCTTCCGAAGATGTCCTTCATGTTCTCGGGAATCTCAAATGGATTGGAGAACGGGATATTAGGATTAGGTCCTGGCTTCGGCGTGGCATATTGTTTGCCCGCTTCGTCCGCATTGGCTTCCATTCTTAAGGCTCGTTCTGCGGCAGCCAGTTCATCCTGCAGTCTGTCGTTTTGTGCACTCATTTCGGCGATTTCAGTAATGAAACGCCGTTCCATACTCGCTTCGGTTTCTTCAAGGACTTGTTTGAATCGGATTCCAAGAAAGTCAAGATGTTGTGCTTTGTTGCGTTCGCTCTCAGCAATCAGAGTGGTTCTGAGCTTGGCGATTTCCGACTGATGTCGTTGTTGAAAAATTGATTCCAGAATGTTCATTTCATTCCTGCATGTTGCAACTTCGTTCAACAAAAACTTTTCCCTTTGGGATGCGTTGAACTCAAATTCCGCAAACTGTGCTTCGCATTCTGCCATCTTCACCTCATGAAGGCGCTCGGCCTGTTCAGCCATGCCAGCCATTCTCACAAGATTATCATGCGATTGTTGGTTCAGAATGCTTGCGTGTCTTCTTTCAGCATCTGCCTCCGTTCGCTCTATTGCCATTCTTTGTTGTTCGGCTGTTTCACCCTGGTTCACAACATTGTACAAGGTATACTGCACGTTTGAGATATCGACCGTTGGATTTGATACAAATGGAGATAGGGTAGGACCCACTGGACCGAAGATCCTATCAAGTGCTTGGGATCCTGAGCTCGATGCCATAGGGCCCGCGCCAGCTGCTGTGAGTTGTTCATCAAGCAGTCGATCTCTTGTTTCGTCGTCCATCTCGTCCGATGATACTTCAGTTGTTTCTCCCTTCTCAGTAGTGAGCAGAGAGGGCGAAGTACTCATGTACCAGTGAATACCAGTGTAAGAATACCACGGAGACAAAGTCAGCGAATACGGCTGATAACCTATAGAATACACCAAAACCGTTAAGCCATGAGCGGTCGCGCTAACCTTTTACTCAGAGGGCTTGGGCACAATAGTCAGCGGTATAGTACACAACATGATGACTGTACACGACCATACAAACTCCTACGCAAGCTGCGATGCAAAACTACACGATCTTGACATGCGTGTTTGGTTATGCTACCCCAGGGCTCTATTAACAAAACTCAGGCCCAGATATCCTGAATCCCCCCAACCCTGCGCAGAGCCCTTAAAGACACCCTTTAAAGGAAGCCTGTTTCTAAAACAAGATTACAGTCATTAGCGTCCCTACGTTAAAGGCGAGGCCTCATGCCGACCTCTACCGGGCGACCGGAGAATGGTGGAAACCATGTTGCAACCTTTGTACCTAGCTCACCATGTACACTGGGATTCCCCCTAACGGATCCCTTATAGAACCCTTGAGAGGATCCCTCAAAGATCCCTTCAACGAGCCCTTAAAGGCAACCCGAGTGTCTGCAGGCGCCACTTTGCCAAGGATGCGGAATCCTCCTGGCCGGCACTGTGCTTCCCTAAGGCTCCATGTACCCATATAGTATATACTTAGGCCTTAAAGGGGTCCCTCTACAGGTACTTTAAGGCCCAAGTACCTACTAGACGGGCTCGGGGCTCTGCAGAAGAAAACTTGGGTGATGGCGTTTAAGTCTCTAGGGCTTTAGTGTTTGAAGGTGTTCAGGGTTTAGGGTTTAGGGCTTTAGGGTTTCGGGTTTTTGGGTACGGAGAGAATATGAAGCTCGAAAATATGGAGCATTAGGCAGCAACTGGGATTAGGGGCACAAGAAAAAACCAAAGAAGGCGACCGGCGCGCCTGCGTCTTCTACATTTCAGAACGCTTGTGCAACCTTCATGGGGCCCTGATAAGCAACCTTACACGAACCCCTGCTTTAAAAGGAACCCAACAGTAGCAGGAATTAACAGGAAGGAGTCTAACAAAGGGATTAGGGTTTGGGTTCTACTGTAACTATATGGTAGAAGCCAGAAGGTTGGAACACTAGTATCCTCATGCCCCTAAGGCTAATCCTCCTAAACTCATGTTCCAACTTTCTGGCTTCTACTGTAACAAGGAAGCCCGAAACCCTATTCGACTCATTAAGGTCGTTTAAGGCCCCTCTACAGTACACCCCATAAAGTTGGAAACCGGATTAATGCCAAATAGTGCTGGGATTCCCTATGAATTGCTCTTAAGGATCGAGGCTATTGGGTTTCCAACTTTATGGGGTTCTACTGTACAGTAGCCCGCCTTCGTCTTCATCTCCAGCATCTGCTTGCAGTCTGTCAGCTGCTCTAAGAGCTCTCCATGCTGGAGCTGAACCTGCCATGGCTTTTGTGAAGATTTCACAAGGCTTTATATAAGGGTACTATAATCGGATTTCTATAAGGGTAATAGCTAGCAGGGTTTATTGAAGGTTTCACAGGGATTCATAAGGGTACTATAGCGAAATTTTGCGGCAGCATTCCGTGTACTGTCAGGTTTGTTTGAAAGGTCTCTACAAGAGCACTGCGAGGTCTAGTGCCGAATTTGTCGGGTTTCGGGCCTTAGGGGTTCGGGGTTTAGGGTTTAGGGGTTTAGGGGTTTAGGGTTTAGGGGTTTAGGGAATTAGGGTTTAGAGGTTAGGGTTCAGGGGTTTAGGCCGGTTTAGGCTTCCGTTTTCGGGTTGCGGACCGATGCTCGGCACCTACACACGGTTTAGGGTTTAGGGTTTAGGGTTTAGGGACTTAGAGTTAGAGCTCCCGCCAGCCTTAACCCACGGATGCTGCGGCTTAAAACGGGTAGGTTCCTGCACCAACTCCATAGTCCGACAAACCCGCACCCCGTGTAGTTTTTCCTCCTATGAACCCTAGTGTAGGAACCTGATGAAGAAGCCTTGGGCCTTTATTAGGGTTCCTTATATGAGCCCTACTATTTTGGGGTGCTATGTCCAGGGTGTCTTAATCAGGTTCCAACATTAAACTCCAAAAGCTACAGCAGCAAGTCTCTAAGCTGCACCCAAGACTCCTGCGCCCCAAAGCCAGATCCTTCCGAAAAGCCTACCTAATTACGAGTTTCAATGCGATGCAACCCTAATGCGATCATCCTTGACTATGAGAGGACCTAAAGACATTGCTCCAATGATTCGGAGAACCCCATAGCGTGCTTAAGACCCTGGTCTTAAGAAGCCACACTCGACCTCAGAAGCCAAAACCTGGCCCAAAACCCTAAACGTTGAAGCCTATGAGAAGCTTGTCTTCAGCAAAAAGATGCCGTGTAGAAGCTACAAATCCCGTTTACTAAAGGGAACCCTCAACCCCTTAGCCTCCAATGAATCCCTAAACCCCACAGGAACCCCTTTGAAGGAACCCTCAACCCTATAAGGGGCCTTTAAAGGGAGCCCTAAACACAATAAAGAGCCTTTCCAAGGAGCCCTCCATCCCGAACCCCATGGCGACCTCAGAGCGCTCCGAGGCGATTTGCTGCTGCTGCTGAAAGGCGTCTGCCGCTTCGCAAGCTGCCAAGTCGGCCTCTGCCTTTCCCAAACAAAGGGGCGGGGGTTGGGGCTTTAGGGGTTTAAGGGATCTTTCAGCAGGGATCTATAGGGGTTTAAGAGGGGGTTTACAGTTTAGGCTGAGGGTTTGGGGGTTTAGGGTTTACCAAACAGGCGGGGGGTTTAGGTTTTGTTGCAAGGATTCGCAAAGGATCTAAAAAGAGATCTATACTATACGGGTAGGGGGTTTTCGGATTTAGAGTTCAGGGTTTTGGGAAGCGGGGGAGGGTTAGGGCTTCAGGTTTAAGGCATCCTGCCCAAAGGGTGTAGGGCTTGGGCTTCAGGGTCAACGGTTAGAGCTTACTGTCTATAGGGTTTACGGAGTCGTGTCTGAGGGGTTTAGGGCTTCAGGTTAGGGGTTGAAGGTTTACTGTTCAGAGTTGAGCGTTTAAAAGGGCTTCGTTCATGCGTAACGATCATGTACTCAGGTCCCAACGGCGGGTTTAGGGTTCATAAGTTCGAGCACCTCAACGTTAGATACAGTACTTGGGTTCAGGGCAAAAGAGTGTCTACGACGTGAAGCCCGATGGCCAGTAGATGATGATCCCAAAGCCCCCAAACCTGCAGATCAGACCCGCAGACCCCGAAGCCTATCCCAAAAACCCTAAGTCCTATCTATATTAACCCTGCTACGCTGTTTACTTCAAGCAAGGGAGCCCGAAAACCCGCCTGGATCCACCACAAGAAGCACCCCATGCAATCCGCGGTTTGAAGCTCATGCGAAAGACCTAATCTAAACCACCCAAGCAGAGCACTCAATAGGAAAACTGTTTAAATGTTATACAAAGAGCCGATAAAGCCTGAGAGGAACCTATATAAGCCCCTTAGAGAAACAGCTGCACAGCAGCACGTAAAGCCACATATAATACTTTCCCCGGAAAAACAATGCCGAAGCTAGCCCTAACTAAACCTGACGTTGAACAAAAACCCTAAACCCTAAAACCTATAATCCCTAAACCAAACAGCAACAAAGCCCTGGAGCCCCAGAGTCATGATATGATATGCTATCATATACCATAAAAAATAGAAATCATTAGAACTTACCATGGTATACTATGATATGGATCCCTTTAAAGGAACCCCTTTAAGGGAACCCACTGAAGCCCTGTAGCCCAAGAGATCCCGACCTGGCTCTCCGAGAGCTCCGCCAGCAACGCCGCCGTGGAGGTCTCCTGGCCGAGGAGCTCCTGGGCGTCGATTTCAAAGGAAAAAATAATATTGCCTACATAGTATCCATTGTAGTTCCTTTTTTTCGGCTAACAAAAATCTCTATTATAGGGTCCTAACCATAAACTGGTTAACCAAAAAAGGAACTACAATGGAGATAGGTGGTAATTATTTAAGCCCCTATACTATAGAACCATGCTATGGGTCCCTGATAGACCCTTTATAGATACCGTTAAAGGAACCCTCCCAAAGGAACCCTCTGCGTTTACAGGGCTCCCTTTAGTAGGGGTTGGGGTCTTGGGCCCTGAATTAGTGAACCTGTTTTGCTTTCTTGTTAAAAGGTCCTAGGGTTTAGCGCTTGTAGGGCCTATGTGCGGCATTTAAATGTAGGGGCTTGCATAATTAGAATAGGGTTTCAGGGCATATTATGGGCTTTCAAGGCCCCGCTTTGTTAGCTCTTGTTAATTAAGTTACCATAATGGGGATCTAGAGTTAATGATATGGATTCCTTATTGTGGTAACTTAAATACTGGCGTGTTGTCAAAGCTCCCCTTTTGTGCCTGTTTAAAGGGGTTTTGGGGTTCATTTTTCAGTTTAGGGTTTAGGGCTTTAGGGTTGTTTAGGGTTTAGAAGTCCCTTTAAAAATCTGTTTTAAAGGTTGCTTAAGGGTTAGGGTCCTTTGAAAGGGTTCCCTCGAAGGGTTCCTTTAAGCGTGCTATAAGCTACCCTTTAAAGGGTTCCTTGAAGGGATCCTACAAGGCTTCCTTTACAAGTTTCCTGCTAAGAGGGTTTAGGGATTTACAAAAAGGATCAGGGGGCTTAGTAACTAGGGTTGTAATTCGGGTAACTATACTTATAAGTACTTATAAACCCGCTTAAGGTACTTATTACCCTAGCTACTAAGTCCCATGATCCTCCAAGTAGCGCCAGGGTTCTACTTGGGTAATGTGGAGATTTAGGGTCTACGCCCTACGGTGAAGGAGCATGAAGGAGCTTTGGCGGTTCCAGGGTTTAGAGTTCAGGTTTGTTGGGTTACACCGTGACACCTATACACTGAACACCGCATAACTGAAACTACCAGTAGTGACAACGGCCATAACTGGAATGATAGTAAGAACCTGTAATACCACCCCTCCGACTAAGTTTGATATATTGTTTTATTTCGAACGACAATAGTAAAAAAAAACGCCCTCAACCCGAAACCTTCCTCCACCCAAGCTACACATGATCAAGTAAGAAAAACACATAGAAAAAGCTCGGAGATCAGACAAAAGTAAACACAGCAACAACCGAACAACAACACCTGGCACCCAAAAGGAGCCCTAAACCCCCAGACAGGAAACTGAAGCAACAAACCCCATTAAACTCTAAACCCTGGAAGAACGCCGAGAGCTTCTCGGATCCTCCTGCACCGCAGAAATCTCCGCTTCGAAGGCCTCTGCGCGGCCCTGGAGAAAGTTCTGGGTGTCCTCCTGAGACTGTAAGAACTTGCTTTAGGAAAGACTGGTGCGTCATAGGCGAAGGAAGCATATCAGGTGAATAGTTATCAAGGGCTTTCAGGTTTCAGGGTTCAACGTTGAGGAGATTTGGATATGTTGTTTGTTTTTTTGGGGGGTGTTTCTTGGGGTCCATCTGGGTTTTAGGGCTTAGATGGATGTCTTCAGGATGTCTTCGTGCCGCTTCTGTTGCGGTGGGGTGGCTGGGCAGGGGGGGTTAGGGTTACACTGCTGAACAAAACTACTGTTGATGATATAATTCCTGCAGCACCCTAAGGTCCCTAAACTGTGGGAATTATGACATCATCCTTATTCTGGGGTCATGCGGGATATATATATATATATATTATATCATCATCAACCGTATGGGCTAGCTGGGGCTAGAAGTTTTAGGGTTAAGGTCCGGGGCTGGTAGGGCTGGTAGTCGGGAGATCTTCAGACCAGGCGTCTTATTTACTGACTGGGAGCTTTCAGAGTCCTTTTAGAGAGGGCCATTCGGGTTGAATTAGGGCGGATCCTGTTTGGTTGGAGGTGTGAGATTTGCAGCTACGAGTAGGGAGATGTGAGCTGAGTCGGGCAGCTAGAGACAGAAGTGGGGGAATGCCCATAAGGTTTCAGGATTTATAGGGAGTTCGGGCTCACAGCTGCCCTGTTGATTACTACATTGATATCGGAGTGCAAGCAGGCCCAAAAGGAGCAACCTGCTACAGAGGTATCCAGGCCTAGACACAAGAGTAACCTAAGAATAAAAAGGGTGCCCTTTTGGGATAAAGGAGGTTATAAGGGAACCAAACCCTTAAGAAGGGAATAAGGGCCTACTCTGGGTCCTAGAGGCTGGTGGTTACACAGTCCCAAGCCTCGTGCTGCCACTCACTCCATACATCCTGTAAACCTGTCATACTTGGGCAATAATTAGCATACGATGTGGGGGTATGCCATAATGTACTTTGGGTGGTTGTCAAAATTAGGGCGCCTCTTTGGTTCCCTAATATAATACGGCACCTAATATAATATTAGGATTTAGGGTGTTCAAAAATGGACCCCCACTTGTATCAGAGATTCTGTTATGCATTACTTGCCAAGGCCGAAAATTAGGCCCATGACTCATGGTCGATAAGCCCTAAAGCTCCACACCCTAATTGAAGTAGTCCGAGCCGCAACTTTCTTGATCTTGTGCCGACATGCCTGAGCAGAACAGTACTAACTTTCAAACAGGGCGATCATGTAGCTTGCGTGTGGCAGGCTAGTCTTACCTAGACCCCCAAAAAGTAGGTAAAAAAATGGCCCAAAGCCTATAAAATGCTGTTATTCTACATACCTTTGGGGTCCAGGTAAGAACCTAGTGATGTATCAAACAAGAGGAACTGAGCAGCTGCTTTGCTTCTTGGTTGCCATACAGTACAACAGCCCCTCTGAGGCAGAATGAGGTAATCAACCGTAGACCAACTGCTGAACGCCGGAATCACCAATCCCACATCAAACTCTGTGAAACCCCTGAACCCCAACTTCCAGAACTCAAGTCCGAAAAAGTCCTCCGACCATGAAATACAAAAACCCCACACCCAACACAACCCAATAATTACCAACAAACCTCTAGGGATATGAACTTAATCACACAACCCACTCTCTATGTAGTATCTATCTCCATCTGTCTATGCATGTATCTGTCTAGGTACCTATCCATCGAGCATGCGCGCTATATATCTATCGACCTATGCAGCTATTTATCTACCTAGCTATCTTTTTGTCTATCCATCCATCGATCCGTCGATCCATCTATCTGTCTGTCTGTCTGTCTGTCCCAACCCACGGCCCAGCGACAAAGCTAACACGAACACAACAAAATCAAAAGAGCGGCTCGCAATCCTAGAACCCTAATAAACCCTTAAAGACCCCTATATGGCATCCTTTACCTAGACCCCGCAAAGTAGGTAACATTTTGGGGTCCAGGTTATAGCATCCTTTAAGGAGCCCTTCGGGGAGCCTACACCCCAAACTCTAAACCCCTAAACCCTAAACCCCGAATCCCCAAAACCCTGAACTCTAAACCCCCCCTAAACCCTTTCAGGAGCGGCGCCCAACGATCCGAGGCCGAGAGGCCGCCTTGAGCTCCATGCGCTTCGTGCGCTCGTCGGCCACCTGCTGGGCCAAGGTCTCCTGGGTCGCAAGGCTTTATGGTTTAAGGTTACCTAAACCCCCCAAGAGTATGTAGAATAATAGCCTTTGATAGGTTTTGGGCCATGATTTTACCTACTTTTGGGGCTTTAGGGTCGAAGGTTAAGGGTTTAATTATGAGAGTTTGGGGTTTAGGGGTTTAGGGTTTGGGGGTTTCGGTGTTTAGGGGTTCAGGGTTCAGGGGTTTATGGCTATAGGGGTTTAGGGTTCAGGGGTTTAGGGTTCTAGGGGTTTAGAGTTTGGGGGTTGAGGGGCTCTTGGGTCGCAGGGATTTCGTTTGCTACTGGGATGTTGACACCTCTCTCCGTCTGCAGGATCTGCAAAGGGTTTAGGGTTCAGGGCTTTCAGTTTAGGCCTTAGTTAGAATTCAACATTTAGGGCCTGGATGGGTTATGACTTAGGTGTTTAGCATGTAGTTGCGCGGATATGTTTTCTATATGCTATTCTGAAAAGCAAGTATTTTGTCAGTATGACTAACTTTGGCAGTTGCTGTGCTGGGTGTCGGTGTGTTGTGGCTTTTAGTGTTTTGTGGGTTTGGGCTTTACAGCCCTTGAGGCTTTCGCCTTTGACGGAATTAGGGGTTTAGGACTTGCAGTCTGGCTAGACCTGCTTCCCTTCACCCTCCACTAAGCCTGTGAGGCAGAATTGCCCACCATTCTGGAAGATACGAGGAAGGATTTCTTGGGCAGAGGCGAGGGTTCCACTGAAGAGGTTGGAGGTAGGGACGACTTCTCCAGGTTGTAGGCAACCCCCACAACTACTTTTAGCACAAAGGAACACACTACCACGTGGGGCAGTACCATGTCATACTGAACGTATATACATTGGGGCTGCGATTTGATAGACTGTGGTCATCATGCAGGTACTGTTGATGATATAAACCCTGCATTACCTTAAAGACCCCACACTATGGGAATGACGATATATTCCTTATTGTGGGTAATGCAGGAATTAGACCATCAACCGTAGTGAGCAGATGGATGCCCCCGAAGTAAATACTTCGTCTCGTGGAGCCCGCAATGCCCAACATTGGGCCAGCTACCACCGTTTGGGAAGTAACAGAGATAGCCTGGGTTTAGGGTTTAGGGTTTAGGGGTTTAGGGTTTAGGGTAGCTGAGAAAGCATTCGCTGAACCCCAAATCCAGAGAACCATATATCCTAGACCAAAATAAACCCTAACCCCCCCGACCCTCAACCTTGCTAAACCCTAACACCTCTGAACCCTGAAATACTCGGTTCCTGAGTCGCCCCTTTACAACAAGGGCACCCTTTTCCTACTGTTCGGCTTTAACAAGGGGACCCCAAACTAAAACGGGCAAAAAGGTACTACTGTTGATGATATAAATCCTGCATTACCTTAAGGACCCTAAACTACGGGATTTCTGGTATATTCCTTATTATGGGTCATGCAGGATTTATATCATCAACCGTCCGCTACTCAGAATACGCCGCTCCTGGACGGCATGCTCGGCCTCCGTCCTCTGACGAAGTGCCTCCATCTCATGCAGAAGCAGAACCTCCTCCTCCCGAAGCAGCTCCACACCTGCGTGGCATTACACTTACTCTATAAGGATTATTGGTACCCCTAAACCCATTATAGTGCCGTTATAGATCCCTTATAGTAACCTTGTATGAACCCTTTCAAAGAAACCTTAAGGATCCATAAATCCTAAAGCCTACAGTAAACCCCATAAAGTTGGAAGCCGGATTAAGGCCAAATAGTGCTGGGATTCCCTATGCATTACTCTTAAGGATTGAAGCTATTGGGTTTCCAACTTTTTGGCTTCTACTGTACACTTACTCTATGAGGAGTATTGGCACCTGGACCCCGAAAGTGTGTAGAAAAAATGCCTTTTATAGTTCATAGGTTTTGGGCCATTATTTTACTTACTTTTGAGGGTCTAGGTATTTCGATGGTTATTAGCAATAACGCTATGATCAACACCTTGAGTACTATTAACTACTGATTTTTTTGCTAAAGGTTACAAAAACAAGTTACTATATGAGATACTATGACAGTTTCTATGAGGGTTTTTCAAGGGTAGAGCTTGGATTTGGGATTTAGCGTTCAGAGTCCCCGCAGGGAGAGTAGACGAACAGGTACCTATGCCTTCCCACAAAGAAAAGTTGAAAAGCTTCTCAAAGTGCCACGTAGATGCGCTCTCTGTGCTCCTTGATTTCTCCTGGGTTGAGCAGTTGACAGAAAGCAATAACCCTCATGCTAAGCTTTAAGAGCAAGGGCTCATATTGCGTCCATTGAGTTTTAGGCAAAGAAATCTAGACCCTAAATCCCCAACGCTAAACTCTATGCTGAACCTGTCCTAAAGCCTATAGAATTTGAAGCCTAAACCATAGACTCTCAATCCTGCCGGCGAGTGGCCATGCTTGGCTTCAATCTGCTGTATGAGCTTCTCCAGACTGCGACGAAGGCCTACGATGTCCTTCTCCTCCTGCACCTCGGCTCCCTTTTCTCTGAAGGGATTTACAGGGGGCTTATGAGGTTCTTGTCGGTGGTAATAAGGGCGCTCTCGGGATTTGTCCGGTTTTATATGGTTTTTGAGAAAGCTTTACCGCGTTTTGGGTGGTTTTATTCCAAGTGGCATTGCGGGTTCTTCAAGGGTTTCTATGAGGTTGCTTTCATAAAACAAAAAGCGTATACCACAGGATGACCTAGGCGCAATGCTCGCCTGGATTTGCTCCATCTCCTTGCTGTTTTGCTGGAGCTGAGCTTCTGCTCGACATCGCGCCCGCTGGGCAGGGGGGAACTGAGCGGTAGCCTGCCTTCAGTCAGGATCACGTGAATTCTGACCAGGGGCTCTAACTGTGACACTATGTGCCAAAGCGGTTTGGGGGTTTTAGGTTTTGCAGGAGACTCCCCTCAATGCAGTCCCACAAACCGATACCTAGACCCCCCAAAGTAGTTAAAATAATGGCCCAAAATCTATAAAAGGCTATTATTCTACATACTTTCGGGGTTCAGGTAAACAAAACAAAAAGGCAAAGGACAGTCTTCGGATCCCTGATGAGGCACTCGCGCTCTGCTTTGGCAGCTGCGACGTGATGCTGCAGAAGCTTTAGCGCATCTTCCTGGCTCTTGTCGTGGAGCCTCGCGCGCTTCCGGAAGCGTTGGTAATCTATCGGCTTGGGCCTAGCTAGGATCGAGCCGACCCTTGGGAATGCACATCTGAGGCTGTGCACAATGCCGGGCTGCTGAACTGAAAACTCTAAACCCTAAACCTTCATTACAATATCCTAAACAGTACCATGATACACGACAATATCCTGTACTGTATCAGAATACACTGTAGAAGAACCTAAGCGCTAAACATAGCCCTCAGCCACTGCTACGGGCCCTACAGTAAACCCCTATAAACCCAATCCCTAAACCCCTTAAACCCCTAAAAACCCTAAACCCCAAACACTTAACCCTAAACCCCTAAAGCCCTAAGCTCCCTATAAGCTCCCTAAACGCGAAACCCTTAACCCCAAGCCCTTTACCCTGAACCCCTAAACCCTAAACCGTAGAGCCCCCAAAGTAGCTAAAATAATGGCCCGAAATCTATAAAAGGCTATTATTCTACATACTTTCGGGGTTCAGGTAAACCCTAAACCGTAGAGCCCTAACTCCGTAAACCCCTACACCTAAACCCTGTACCCCGAAGCTCCAAGCCTTGCATAGAGCTCGGCAACCGCTTCCTCGAGATGACGACAGGAGATCTCCGCATCCACAAAGGCTCGGAATCGGGCTTCGCTGCCATCCGCAGACATCTTTGGCCACTCTTCTACTTTTTTCAATATGTTAATGTAGTATATCCAAGTATATTATGTACAGATTGCCACACTACGTTGGTATAATGTAGTGTGGTGTAGTGTATCATAGTATAGTTTAGTAGTCTCAGTCTTGGTATTATAATATATAGACGCTCTTCTTATTCGGGCTTAGGGATTAGGAATCCTATAGCACCAAAGACATTACAGTAGGCCCGACAGTAGGTATCACACCTGTGTCACCTGGGATTTAGGGTTTAGGGGTTCGGGGTTTAGGGTTTGGGGTTTGGGACTTAGGGTAATACTATGCTCCCGCTGCGTGCTTCGTATGAACAGCTGTACATCGGTGATCTTCATGGCTTTAAGCTGGCTGAGCAAACCGCGGCCCGAGATGTATCCAAGTTCCGAAGAATACCAAGCACCAAGCAAGATTCCTGCTTACGTTTGTGTCATATGTGCTTGTGAACTGCATATCATAGAGAATCTGTGCATGCCTTTGTTATATCGTAGTTAGAGTGGGTGTGCAAGCAAATCCGCTGTGAAAACTTGAGCACTGGATTATGCAAGCCCACTTCTTCCGAAACGTTTTGTCGGAAAAGGGGCTGCAGAACGCCAATGCCGCCGCTTGCAGGGTGCCCTGCAAGGACTGGATGCTGCGTTTGATGAACGCAAATGGTTTCGACTTCTGGGCCTACCTGGGAAACCAACAGCCTATTGCTGAAAGGTTGTACTTGTACCACACCGTCATGGGGTTAGGACATACAGTGTTGCAGGGTTCGGTTGGAGTTACAGGAAGGGTTTAGAGTCTAGGTTCCCCGGCAGCCCCTAATAACAAGGGTGCCCATCCTCCTTCTTATGAACTTGGGAGTTAGGATTGGGGGGACCCTCGGGGATATAGACCCTCTCAATAAGGTCCCTTTTTTTCAGAGCCAGAAGTAGGGTTCGGAAGGGGTACCCTTTAAGGGGTCTCCCTCATCATGCTACCCAGAACTGTAATACTAAGAACCCAAAAAAGAAAAGGGCAACAGGGTACTATCGGGGAAACTACTTGGAGGGTCGGGGGACTTAGTAACTGGTTATTTTAGGGACTTATAAGTACCATAACCCCAATCAAGGTCCCCTTTAGGGTACTTGTAAGTCTACTTATTACCTACATACTAAGTCCCCCGACCCTCCAAGTAGACCCTAAACCCTAAACCCCGTAGATCCCTTTTAAGGAACCCTATAGATCCCTTTAAGGAGCCCTTTAAGAGCCCTTACTAAGTCCCCTAAAGACCCTCCAATTAGGAGTGCGACCTGAAGGGCTCCTGGAGTTCTGGGTGGTTCTAACTCTGCGGGCGCGGAAACCGAAATCATGAGACATCAAGGGTTTAGGGTTTAGGGTTTAGGGTTTTTTTTTAAAGTGTATTGACGCTCCTGTGGGTTTAGGGACCTAAGAGTAACCTAGGAATAAAAAGACTGCCCTTTTTGGCTTAAAGGGGGTGGTAAGGGAACCTAATCCCTAAAAGAAGGAATAAGGGCCTACTCTGGGTCCCAGAGAAGGGTCGGGCCTTCGGGTGAACACCCTACGCCCAAGATCACCCTAAATCCCAAACCCGCAGATTAACATCGACATCCGTCACGGGCACGCTGTCCAACAAAAACCCGGACGCCAAGATCCCGGTCCGCCGGCCGGGTCTGCAGATTTCATCATTCGTCGCGGCGTTCACCAAAGTAACTGTCTCTGTGGTCACTGCCCCGCAGCTGTCCTGAATGTGCTGGCGAAATGCATCGATGATTTGCTTCATGCTTTTTGAGCGCACCTTCAGTGGCACTGCGCGTGCACTGATGAGCAACACTTCGCACTGAGCCATGGTGTGAGACTGCTTTTCGCGAGAAATGTACGGTTTAGGGAGGCGGCATGACTGGTGCAGCAGAAGTAGTAGTGGTGGTCGTAGTCACAGATTCATTTTGTATCGAAACCCCTTCGCCCGACGAAGGTATGAGGGTCTAGGCGGGTTTAAACGGGTTTTGGGTTTCCCGAAACCCTAAACCCTGAACCCCTACATCCTCATTAAAGGTTCAGGGCTGAAAGGCTTCGAATTATCCCCAACACCTCCTGCGATCGGGTCGGCCAACCTGGAGTGGGGCCGCTGCCACTGCAAGGCATGCAGCACCATTGCTACACGGATCGGTGACTATGAGCTCGAGTTCAGGGTTTTTGCTTCGCACTTTGTTGTCGGAGCTTTAGGCAGTCAAGGCTTTAGATTGATTGTTCACCGTACTACGGTGTTCAAACCCCCGTACTATCTTACACAACTCATGTCACCAAGACGCGACGAATCATGTAAGCAAGATGAGTATGGCCATGCCTCCAAGCCCTGTGGTTCCACAAGAAATGCTAAAGTCTCGCCTAATGCCGTTGAGTGATCTGTCCTTCGAGGCTAAGCAGGGATTGCCGGAAGGGGCTTCCCAGAAAAATGCATGGATGCCTGGATAGAGCCCCGCCCGATGCTCGATTCCCCTATTGTTGTCATCAGCATTTCCCGCTGAAACGGCTGATAACATACAACAATCATACATATCCGTCTACCTACCTACCTACCAGCGTGCCTGCCTACCTGCCTACATACCCACCTACTCACCTCGTCTTACCTACCCCCACCTGCCCCTACTCCTGCCTACCTACCTACTGCCTACCTACCCACCCACTAACATACCTAGCGACCTAGCTACTCAACTGCCTGCCTAAAGGCCTGCATACATGCATGGTTCTTAATTCGCTCTTGTATGTGTATTCGACGCTGCTTGCTCGTCGCTAGGCTTCAATCGGCATCTCTATGGTGTGTCAGTGCTCAGGCACCGATGTTTTGCTTCTCTGGTGTGTGCAGGATAGTTTTCATGGCGCTTCACGGTGAAAGGCTTGGAGTGTCGTGGGTATCGGAGTTCCTCAGGGTCAAGACCAGCGGTAAGGAATCCATGCTTGCCTTTTGTTCCTTTGGCGTGTCCGTCCGTGCCTATAGTCTTAGGGTATCGTTTCTGTTTGTTGGTGTGTAAAGAGGCCATAGTTTCGAATCTGGGGCTTAAATGGTGACTGGGAGTTGAGACGTCGTGGGGTCATGGCAGCCGTATAGGCCCTGGTGCACACTTCCAGGTTCATGTGAAGCGGAAAAAGTACAGGCGCAAACCTTTGTGCTCGAGGTTCCAGTGAGGATGCATACGGAAGGAAATGATGACGATGGTGGTGACAGTGAGGACGATGATGACGACAGCATCTCGCATATGATGACAAAGCTGACGGTGATGAGGAGGCTGAGAACTATGCTGATGGTAATTTTTGCAATTCGGATTTACAGTCACCGACTACACCGACAATGACAACTGTAACCGGGATGGAGAGGGTATCTTTTTCCACACAGCGGATGGATGCCTCTACTATAGCCGAGAAATGTATGGCTCTGGTTCCAGCAGCAGGCCAACCACCAAAGCATGGAGAGTTGAACCCTAAACCCCGCACCGAACCTAAACTCGAAAAACATCCAGAACCCCGAAACACTGCAGACTCCAAACAAGAAGTTCCGATCTGCTCAGTGACGGAATCCATGGCCACATCAGCCCACATTCACAGAAACAGAAGCAAGCTTTATGCATGTACTCGAGAGCTTCATGGGTTCGTGTCGAAGCTCTAAGTTCTGAGAATGTGTGTACTGGCACGAAGACCTGGCGATCCAGAGCCGGAAAAGATACCTGAGGGTCCTTGTACTCACATGACTCATGAAGGGCTCAGTTAAATTAAAGGATCTCTGTAAGGGTTCTATGAAGGTTTCTATAGGCCATGTACATACTTACTAATTGGGTACAAGGACCTGTGGAGGATACCAACGATGCCATCTGCATATGTACAAGCTTGATCCGGTTCAAGCTCTCCGCAGCAACTAGGGATTCCAAGTTTGGTGGGGCTAACAGTGGAGTCAGCACGCGAATGGTTGGTCGCCTGGCTTTTGCATGGTCTGGATCGATCTAGCATCTTGCCACACCCTAAATCCTAAACCGTAAACCGTGTACCTGCACACTGAACTCTCGAATCTTAAACTCAACAGACCTGAGATCCTGACTGACACAGCCATCGGCTTCTTTTGAAGGCCCCGGCCCCTACCCCCTCCCCTCCGAACCTGAAACCGCAAGAATGCCAAGGCCTTAATTAATTAGAACCCACAAAGGCATGCAGCTGCACTCTGCATCAGCGTTATCTTGAAGTCTTGTCGCAGTGTTCGCAGCAGGAAGTTCAACTGCACATTAGCCCATGTCAACAAGTCTTCCCTACAAACAAGCAGCTTGCTGTATGAAGCCTCGTTCGCAAAATCCTATAGCCACCCTCCAGCACAAACCCTATCGCTACCCCTACAGCACCCTTCCGGCTGCTCTCAAGAGTAGCCGCGGTAGTACTCTTTCAGAAGCCTCTAACAGTAGCCACTTACTACAGCAACCTTACAATAACCCGTGTAGCAACCCCTCCAGCGACAATTGTAATGTAGCAATCCCAATAGCATCGTGTATCTTAGCCCTGAGAGCAACCCTTGTAGCACCCCTTGTAGTAATCCCTGTCGTATCCCTATGCCGCAAAACCTCTTGTACTAAACCTAAAAAGCTTAATCGATCCCTCGTATGGCCCTTACGGATTCCTTTGTTTAAATCTGAAACCTGATAGATTCCTTATATAAACCCTTAAAGGAACCCCGTCTGTTAGACGTAGTATACCATCCCACAGGCTGCGGATTTCTGTCCCATAAGGCCCAAGGGGCCCTCATCGGTACCATGGTGACTCCCACGAGCCTGGCAAAAGCGAAAAAAAGCAGGGGCCCAAATATTCAGAACAGGGTTTGGGGGGTCATGTTTGTGTAATTACTTAGGCAGGAACGGCAAGGGAACGTATGATGAACACCAGTCCGACCCCTAGATTATACAGGTGCTGGCACATGGCTTCCAAGGCCTAGGGCATTAAGATTGATAGCGGCAGCCGGTTCGCCCAACAGCCGCTGCCGAAACGGTGTACTACACTATACGCACTAGATGCGTGTGTAAATGTGTATATGTATATATGTATGTGTGTCTGAATAGATATACGTATAAATATGAATATCGATATAAATATAAATCGGTTCATAGCTTGTGCATTCGTAAGACGACTCCCTCTCCCTGACTCTCTCCCTCTCTCTCTCTATATATATATATATATATACATATGCATGTGTGCATGTGTGTACATGCTTGAACAGACATACATCCATGCATACAGCCCTGCAGACATGCATGCCTACCCAGACAAAGGCGATGCCTAACATGATAACAGACAACCACATTTCCGTAAGGGTCCATGTACCCATATAGCGATACATGAGCCCCAAAGTACCTATATAGGGACGACATTAAGGCCAATGTATATACTATATGAGTACATGGATCCTTAAGGTTTTCACGTAAAATAACAAAGCTTCGTGTCGCTGTGTCTATGACACGACCCCTAATCCCTAAACCCCTAAACCCTAGACCCCTAAACCCTAGACCCTAAACTCCTAACCTAAACCCCTAAACCCCAACCCTAACCGTAAACCGATGGCTCCAGACCTCGGACATGAAATTCAGTCAGAAAAACAGAGTTTCGTCCAACTCTGTCGCAGAAACATGGCTGGGAGTTTCCCAAAAAAGAGGTACCTTATTTTGGGGCCCTTACAATAATGGTCTTACTATTTAGGGTACAGAATCATACTGTTCCCTATTTAAACCGTGGTAAATCCAGGGCAAGCATGGCCAAACGCAGAATACACCCTGCACAAATGTGTGTAACCTGTTCCTGGTGGAAGTACCCGAACTGCCCAGAGCCTCCAAAACCCCTTAATTAAGGAATATACCTTAAATTATAATAGGAGCCCTAATATGATTTAAGGTATATTCCTTAATTAAGGGGTTTTGGAGGCTCTGGGTGTGGAGTTCAACAACCGTGAGGGACAGCTAATAACCCGTGCACAAACCCTCGACAAAGCCTAAACCCAGGAAACTCGAAACAAAACCCCTTGAAATGCCCAATATTCCCCACAATCCTTGAAGTCCCAAGCAAACCTGAATCGGCTATAACGTATAGCACCCATTGTGCAAAAATAACCACAGATACAGGGAAACCGTAAACCAAGGGTTATCGCAACGTACAAGGAAGGAACCTATCTGACCCCTAGTATATCCCTGAACCTTTGTAGATACCTGAAGGAAATGAAGAAGCCAAGACCCAAGACAAAATCACGGCGCACACTCAACCCTAAACCCTGAAACCCGAAAGCCCTGAAATCAGATTGCGCGGGAACCTGCAACATCCCCTTGAAAGCAAGCCTTCAATAGGAACCCTCAAAAAGCCCCAATTTGACCTTAAACCTCCGTAAACCCGCACCTCTCCAGTCGCAGGAGCCACTTGACCAGGATCCTTCCTTCAACACAGGAGCGGGCGACATAATTCAAGAGTGTTTAGGGCTTATCGGGCTTAGAGTTTTGGGCTTATGGGCTTAGGATAGAAGCCCAAAAGTTGGAACCCAATAGCCTCAATCCTTAAGAGCAATGTATAAGGAATCCCTGCACTGTTTGGCCTGAATCCGGTTTCCAACTTTATGGAGATTACTGTATAGGGCTTAGGGTTTGGGGATCTCTCTGCTGTGCAGGTACCTTTTGAGGGCGTTTGGGGCTCAGGCTAGCCAAATCTAGGGCGGAGTGTAGCTTGGCTTAGGGCTCAGGATTTAGTTGTTGAAAAGTTGGGTCAGGGTTTAGTTTGGGTTTGCTAAGTTTAGGGTTTAGGGCTTAGCTACGTTTAGGGTTTACGCTTACTAGGGGTAGTTCCAGTGAAGGTCTTGCGAAGCGTGCCTGGTCATAAGTAGGGTACGTCGCCACTTGCAGCCGAAACTCCAGACCCCAAAGGGTCCTTTGTACTGTTATGGGGGATACTTCCCCAAATCATAATAGCAATTCCTAATATAGAAACCCTACATTCTACCATACAGGTACTTTGGACCCTTTGGGGACCCTAAACCCCTGAACCTAAACTCCCAATATAGGGGCCTTCATAATTACGTATACTATTTTGGGGGCCCCTTATTATAATCGTGGCATAATATACCCCCCCAAACCCTGTTCGAAGTATTAAGGCCCCTATATCAAACCCAAAACCCCTCAACCCCTACAGGGAACTCCAGAAAGTTGGAATATGGTTTCAGGGTAGGAGACCTTATAATTTCACCATAAAGGGTTTAGGATAATGATATTCCAACTTTCTGGCTTCTACTGTAAAACCTAAACCGTAGACTTACAGGGGGTCTTCACAAAGCACAGCGGGCCTGTGATCTCCTCAGGGTCCGACGAAGGGTTACATCTTCTTGCAGGGTTTAGGGTTTAAGGGTTAAAGGGTTTAGGGGTTCAGGGGTGGAGGGCTCAGGGCTTAGCGGCTTAGAGGTTTAGGGATTTAGGGTATAAGAGTTTAGGGGTCTAGGTTTCTGGGTTTAGGTTTAGGATCGTGGGACTTAGTAAGCAAGGCTGGAGGTACCTCAATTGGGGTTACAAGTATGGTGTAAGTATAGTTACTTTGCTTCTCCCCCTGGTTTGGGAAGCCTGGCCTGCCAGCTGTCGGACTTCCAGGCCTCAGCTACCGGAAAGCCCAGAGGTGCTCTTAAAGAGCTCATGGGGGTTTAGGGTTTAGGAATGTTGCCTAGGGTCCCAGGGTTATTTCCTACACATGGTTTAAGATGTGTCAATGTCTACAGTGATGTCCCGACATGTGGTAGGTTCCAAGTGTTCATGCTTAGATGCTTGTTTGGTGGCCCATGCTCAAGCTAGAACCCCAAAGTCATTTCCAGGAATCCGACTATGGGTCCTGAACAAGTAGACTGGGGATATTTCGGTAAACTGTAGTGTAGCTATGAAGGGAGCTCTAGGGCTATAGTGCTACAAAGTATGTAGGCCGCTATATCACCACCCAAACCTTAAACCATCTGCCCCGACGACACGACCAAAGCCGCCGAAGCCTTGTTTCTCAGACGTCTGAAAGAAACCCTACTTACAGGTTTAGGGGTTTGGGTTTACACAGGGTTTGGCGATCAGGATCAGGGCTGGCTACTTAAAGGATCATTGGACTTAGGGTAACCATACTTACAACTAGTTATAAGCCCAAGTAAGGTACTTATAACCTTACATTCTGAGTCCCATGATCCTCCAAGTAGGGTTTAGGAATTGGGGTTTAGGGAATCAGGGGACGTGGCAAGTTCGACAGTAACCTAATCATACTGATTCTCACTTACAACCCCAGTTCTACTGAGTTCGAACAGACAAACACTTGGGGCTGCAGGTTTTAGGGTATAGGATTTGGAGAGGTTTCAGGCCGAGATAGAAACCCTACGTGCGAAATGAGAGACTCTGCAACCCACTCCGCTTAGGGATTACCTGAAACTACTATAACCTACTTTTTCTGTAGGTTCTTATTATAAACCCGAATATATGGGATTTCTAGGGACCTCTATAAAAAAGTAGGTTCTGGTGGGTTAAGGTAGGCTACGGTTTAGGGTTTACAAGCCGGGCCCCCAGCCTAATCGCTGAAGTCGAAAGGTGAAAGGATCCGACTACGCACAGGCAGGTACTTGGGTTGAGTGAGGGTTACTTAAAGGATCATGGGAGTTAGTATAGGGGTACAACTAGGGTAACTATACTTACAACTTCTAACCCCAATTAAGGTACTTATAACCTTAAGTCCCATGGTCCTCCAACTGGGGTTTTGGGACAAGGGTTTTTGCAATGTAGCAGTACAGGTACTAGCTGCTCTGTTCTCCAAGCGGTTCACCGCTTCCATAACCACTTCCGGGCTGCCTCAGGAGCATTACACCGCAACCTCTGGGGTTATGTCGTGTGGCGGAACTAGAAACAAAAAAGCCTAGGTGGTCTCTGCCGCGCAGACACGTTCCCACACATCTTCCATGGAAAGCTTTTCGGATGAGACTGGTCTCCCTCGTCGGTCATATTCATTCGCCAACATCGCTAACAACTCATCTTTATCATGACTTGGGAGTCCAGCGTCTGGGCTGAGCCCAAACATAGTGTGCACATAGGCCATCAGCACTTCTTTCGACGCTCGACCTAGGTAGGCCCGGTTCGCCCAGACTCGGTCGGACGCCTCCAGCCAGTCCAGGACGTGCTGGACCTGCGAAAAGGCAAAATTGACTCTGACACTGGACTTCCTGGGCGGCAAAGCGTCCAAGATGGAATGCTGCCACTTCAATGCATTTGCTAGCAAGGAACACTGGCCGCCCAGAATGAATTGATGCGCGAGCTATACTGCTGGACAACATGTCGTCTTCCTTGGGAACTCTGCGCACGTTTCTTTCCACGGCTCACTTGTCCTCCTGCTGGTTGGCCCAGCACGTAGGCCCGCACTCTCAAACACCTGAAAAGTTGGACCCTTACCCTGAAGGTCAAAACAGCAGAGCTCCTCTCAATGCAAGAGCCTGAGACTACAAGCACTTGCAAGGCTTAGGATGAAATTAGTAGGGTTTAGATCTCCGGGCATAGAAGCCCCAAAACCCTAAACCCAAAACCACTAAACCTAAACCGCTGAACCCTAAACCCCAATCCCAAAGCCAGAAGTCAGGAAGTGCCGACAGCTGGGACCCCCCACGGCCTGATAAGATCCACGGCCTGGCTTCGCAAAAGCTTTCTTCTTCTTCTTGAGGCTATGTTCAGGGTTTAGGGTTTAGGCTATGCCACCCTTAAAACCATGCTGAAAGTGATATGTACTAATGTTCTTTCGGGTTTTTGTCTGAAAAAGTTTCCCAAGTTTTTCCTCGGGAAACGAAACATAGGAGGGGCTCAACGGGCTAAGTGAGACTTTCCAACGGAGCCAGTGAATCTTTTTCAAGTTGCAACCTGTTATCTGGAAGGATTCTTGACAGCTGTTGTGGTGTCGCTGGGTTTTGATGTATGTATGGGCAGTTCTGTAAACTTAGAGACAAAGGACCCTGATGTAGAGAACTGGACACTCACCCAAACCATAATCGTAATTCCTTCTGTAGAAGCCTTACTTTCTACTATGTAGGTCCCGGTTCCTGAGTGGTACCTTTCTACTACGGGCACCCAGTTTCCTACTGCTCGGCTTTAACAGGTGGACCCCAAACTAAAATGGGCAAAATGGTACTACTTAGGATTACGGTAGACCCCCAAAAGTTGGAAACCGGATTAAGGCCAAATAGTGCTGGGATTCCCTATACATTACTCTTAAGGATTGAGGCTATGGGGTTTCCAACTTTTGGGCTTCTGCTGTAGGGGAAAGGCAGTAAGGTAAAAGCCAGAAAGTTGGAATATGATTATCCTAAACCCTTTATGGTAAATTATGGGGTATCCTACCCTGAAGCCATATTCCAACTTTCTGGAGTAAACCCCTAAACCCTAACCCTATACACCCCTAAACCCTAAACCCTAAAACCCTAAAACCCTACACCCCTAAACCCCTCTGCTGTAGGGGAAAGGCAGTAGGTTTGTGACAGAGCCAGGCTCCAGCTCAAACAGACGACTCCCGAATGGCCCTTTGATGGAGCGCTTTGGGTCCTTAATAGTGGGTACTTACCCTAAGGCTCCAAACAGGGTCTTGGGCCTTCTGGGGGAGGGTTTCGGCTTTGGGGGCTAGGGTTTGGGACCTCACTACAAGGGTCCAGGAGCCTTAGGGTAGGGTATATTAAACGGTAGTTGGGGGGTCCACAGTGAGAGATTTTATATGGATTAGGGTTTGGGGTTTGATCCCTCAGAGAGCCAACTAGCAGGGCAAGGGATGCTCTATAACAGACGAAGGGTTTGAAGGGATTAAGTTTAGGGGTTTGCGGGTATTGGGGTTTAGGGGTGTAGGGGCTTGGATGCTCTTGGTGTTGGTTTGGGATCGCTAACAAGCCTCCGTTGAACTTATGTCAGTCGCTGCTTTTTTGGACGGGAAGGGGTATTGTAGGCTTCCTCTGCAGGTCCTACCTTTGCTTTCCTGCACCCGACATCTCCAGACAAACGTGCAACCCGCGGAAGCCTGATTCAAATACCCGAAGGAATTCAAGCCCAAACAAAGAAGCAAGAACATCAACGCAGGAAAGCAAGAACACCATAAAATTCAACTCCTCCAGATGTATCGATGCTTATTATATAACCCTAAATCCCCACCAAAAGAGGCCCTGACCCTACACCCTGAACCCCAAACCCCAAAAACAACTTTTGTCTCCTGAAGGAGCCCCTTACCTGGACATCGGTGGACGGCTGTCTCGTCGAGCTCCACTATGGCCTGCCGCCTGTGCCGTTTAGGGGTCATGTCCCAAACCGTCGCAGAAACACATCATATAGAGTTTAGGGGTTTTGGGGTTTAGTTTAGGGTTTAGTGCAGAAACAAATCACTATATATGTTAGACGTGTCTGTACAAACCTGCATAGGCTTGTGGCGGAAACTGCTTTAACGAAAAGGTTTCAGGACCAGCAACCCACAATTGAGGTACTCGGGCTCCGCGGGCTACTCTAAGCCGTAAAGTGAAGCCCAAATCGAATCTCGGGTTAACTGTAGTAAAAACGTAGGGCTGTCTAGGCTGCTTTCAGGTGTAATTAGGGTGCTTAGGTTGGGCTGCAAGACTAGATTTGTTGGGCGGGGCTGCTCCCCTAAGCCCTCAACTGCTCTCATGTCCAGTCCTGCAATAAACCGAAAACCTAAACCTAAAACCCTCCCTAAGGCTTTTCTGGGGGAGGGCTTCGGCTTTGGGGGCTAGGGTCCAGGATCTCACTACAAGGGTCCAGGAGCCTTAAGGCTGTACCCAGAACCCTAGACCGAAAGAGCTCATCCACACTTTCTAAGGGTCCAAGTAGTTCCCATCTATGGCTTTTGGTACCTAAAAAGGCCCTAAAGTCCTATAATAGGGAGTACTTGGACCCTCTGGGACTGCATACAACCACAACAAAGGTCTTCGAAAAACCCAAAGATTCTAGGAGCACTTTGAAAACAATCGCAGTATCCCGAAGGGTCCATGTACTCCATGACTCCATGGGGTCCTTTAAAGGGTTCTCTTAAGGGTTCTATGAGGGTTGTCATGAGGGTTACTACAAGGGCTACTTTAAGCATCCACATGCTCACATAGTATATTCGTTGGGCTTCAAGTAAGCCCTATCGACAAATGATAATGGGCACATGGACCCTTAGGGTATGACCTGCGATGACAAAGTGCAGATTTGCACAGCCCCACCACGATACCCCAGACCTCCTGCCCTGCTTTCTTAAACTCGGTGGGGCTTTCAGACTCCAAACCGGTACACGGTTTAGGGCTTAGGGTTTAGGCTAGGCTAAGGCCTAAGGCAGCTTCAGGTAGGCACCATTTCTGCGTCAGCACGAGCAACATGCGAAGCGCATGCTTCCACTCGGCCCTTTTCGGGATTTCTTCGTTGTGCGGAACATGTTGGATCGCCTCATGTGTCAATTTGTCTCGGATCATGTATGCACCCTACAATACACTCATACTGCAAAGACCGTGCTAAAACATCCTTACGCTTTAAATCCTAAGAAACATCCACAAAGACCAATTTGAGCAGTTTAACGTGCTCTAACTTTACAGCACATGCTTCTCGCCCACTCAGAAGGCTGCCGGATGCCGGTTGCCTGCACAGCTCAAAGACAGTTACGTACAGATACACAGGCTTCGAAATCCCCGATGTACGCGGATTCAGGGGACTCCGGAATAAAGCAAGCAGGAATGCACTTTTGGTATCCAACTTGAAATGCAAATTACGGCGCTCACGATTACACTCTGTTAGTCCCCACAAGGACTCCTAGACCCTGAACCCTGGTCGCGACCTGGGCACTACAGCCCCGTAAACCTAAATGAACGTTGTCCTCTAAGTCCTCTGAACCCGAGACTCTATACGACTTTTGCAGCCGTCACAGCAAAAGCCGTCACAGGCTGGGTCAAGTCGACAGTCCTCCTAGTGGGCGGGCACTCGCAAGTGAATGAGTAGTGTACAGAACTGCGAGTGACAAAGGCGCCTGGCCTTTCTTGTCTAGTATGTGTCCGGCCAACGCGGTAAGAACGGTACAGATGTTCACCGCGTGCCACGTCGACGCCACGAAACGGCGTTTGCAAGTCTTGTGTTCTCCCTCGTGCTGTGCACGTGATGCTGTTGTTAGATTTGGTGCATCCTGATTTCTGGCCGGAGTGTGTCTCCCGGAAATCGTGATGAAGGGGATGCGGGAGACCGGTACCCTGGATTCTCGAGGTCGCGTCCGGACGTGCGGCCCCTGCTTGCAGGTCATATCCGGGATCACTAGTTGACCATGGTCTGAAAGTCCCGTGGCCAACGATGTGATAGGGGTGTTTCTTTGTCTGACCTCGGTTTTGGTGCTTGCCGAGATTGGGATTTAATTGAGATTGATTGTACAGCTCTCATGTGGCTCGCTGCACCCGGTGAACCGCTTAGCGCGGCGGGGTGCAGTGGACGGTCTGCGCCACAGTGTGCGTAGACCTTTTGTCGCTCGGGCCATTTGTACCGCTTCGCGCGGCGGCCTGGGTAGCACTCTTTGAGGGAGTGTTGCCCTGTGCCGTTTCGTGGACTTTGTTGCAGATTGTTTAATAAGGAGGCGGGTTGTTGGGACGACCCCGTCTGCCCTCAGTCCCACAAGACGAGAATGTTTTAAGGTGGTTTCACAGCGCCTGGCTCTTCGGAGCTTCGAGCGACATCCATCCATCCATCAGCCGTCACAGCAAATTAGCGAGCGACAAGCTGCTGCAGTGTAGCCTTCTCTGGTTGAGGGTTTAAGGTATGGGACTTTACAGAGTATGCAGGTTTGGGATTTGGGATTTGCAGCTTTGGGATTGGTTCCTCTGCTGCATTCAGACTGGCTTCCGGAATACATGGGGTGTCTTTCTCAAAGTTGGGGATTTCTGTATCTGAAGTCCATGCTGTTAGGCCATGACCCCAAACACCACCGTGAAGGGTCTAGGACGACAGACATGAAGCACTAGGCTGCCTTGGCGCTAAGATTTTCAGGCTCAAAGTGTGAAGGATAAGACCCCTACATGAGGCTTTCGGAGCTGAAGGGCTTTCGGTGTTTTTCTGGTTTCATCAGGGGCCCTATACACCCTATGCTGCAAACCCGATGTCAAACTCTAAACCTGAACCCAAACCGGGCTAAGGTACTAAGGAGAACCTCGCCAGGCCGTGTGCGGAACGCCGAAACCTCACACGTCGTCGTCAGCCTGGCACAGGTGCTTGGAGGTTCTTGGGCAGTTATAGGGGACTCATGACTTCACTTATAGCTACCCGTGAACCTTCAGGGGGGGTGGGGCGCTGGAGGTTGCTGTGGGTTTTGTAGGGTCTCGAGTTTCCTCGGTAAGCTGGTACATAAACGTCAGGCGCTATGCTATCTGTTTGTTAAAACCCTTTGGCCGTTACGTGCTCAACAAATCTTGTAGCAGCCACTTCGACGATGAATATGTGGGCAATGGCCATCTGCCTATACCCGTTTGGCACTACTACATCTTCTCTGGTCTATGTTGCATCCTTTGGTAGGCTTCCGCACAAGACACGGACGAGCACAGTATGCCAAATCAGGCCAGCTAGCGACAGATGAACTTCGAATAGGAGGCACACTCTAAACTATGTATGTGGCATGCGAGTAGGGCCTTCGCATACCTTCAGATCCGCGGCACACTGCCTTACCGTGTGGCAACGATGAAGATTGGCAATAACGATGCAATTCCATCAGTTCCACTACACTTTCCTTGGGACAGATGGCACCTAAGCTGCATTTGTCGCATAGAACATCATCTTTTTATAGGCTCACAGGGGAGTAGCACTGCCAAACCTTGTCTAGGCGCCTATATGGCCCCAGCCGAAACACCAAGCTGAGATAATGCCAGGGCCTAGGCAACAAGTGACCACACCACAGACAGGAGCACACCGGCCTTCTCAAAGAAGGGGACGTATCCTGCGAAACGAGCAAAATAGCTCATAATGAAGATCGACACATCAAGATGCCAGGCACCTTGCGCCCCAAATAATTCTGAAAGCCCGACACACATATGACAAACGGTAAACTTCTGCCCCAAAGCCCTAGACCCTGAGTCGTTTTGTACTTCTTGTTGATGCGCTGACATACATACATACATTCATGCATACATACAGGCAGATAGCTAGATTGGGGTTGCACCTCAAGTTCCTGTGGCTCTTTGATTTCAGCCAACACGCACACCTCAAGACAGACACATGATTGCCCGGCCCTCTCCGCTCACTGAACGAAGTGAAGCTCAAAACCAAAATCCTAAGCCAAAGTTCCGGGATCAAATCATAATCCTCCTTAGGGGTCCATGTACCCAAATAGTATATACTTTGGGGCATATGTACCTATATAGGCAATACTTAAGGCCAAAGTATATACTTTTTTGGGTACAGGGACCCTTAAACCCTAAACCCTATAGAACCCTTATGGTGCCCTTAGAGTAGAACCCTTAAAGGAACCCCGTGTGGGTACTTGGGCACTTAGGGTTTGGCGGTCTGGGGTTAGGGGTTTACACTTTCAATGACCCCATCCTACCTGTAGCCGGAAAGACGTACCTTCTCTAGGCTTGCTTATTATGGTCTCTATTAGGAGCTGCCCCCACCCTGTAATAGTGACCATAAGGATTATATAGGATTATATTGGGGCCCTAATATATTCCTAGTATACCACTATTACAGGGTGGGGGCAGCTTCTAAGGTCTCTATGTATACTTCCTTAAAATTCCTTATTATGGTTTCTATGTATAGCACCTTAAAAAGGTAGGTCTTTTCGGCTGCAGGTAAGCCCAAAGCCTGTCGAATCCTCTCGTCTGTGCGCCAAACCCAACTTTGACATTAAAGCCCCAGAGGATCCAATAATCCCCTGGACCCCAAAATATGTAGAATAATAGCCATTTATAGGTTTTTGGCCATTAGTTTACCTACTTTGGGGGTCTGGGCAGGTAGGTACTTGCCTAGACCCTCCATCTACCCTCTATCAGACCCTAAATGCCCCTTGTTTGGAACCATATACCCCTATTCGAGGGCACAAGGAGGGTCCTGGTAGTGTTACCAAAATACTTGGGAGAGTATAACCCTCAAAGGGCCCAAGAATGAGTTACCTAGAGAAAACTACTTGCGGGAGTATAGCTGGAGAGTATATGATGGGTTGCAAGGTGCTTGGACCCTTAGTGTAACAGCTCTCCACCCCACACCCAGAACCTCACTTACCTATGTCTTCATACGAGTTCTATGCATTATCGGCTCCAAAAAGGATCGA